CAGCCACGAGCCGTGTCGCCCGGGCCATCCCGCGGGACCGATCGAGGGCTCCGGCCGCGGCCCTGCTGGGAGCCGCCACGGTCCTCCCGGGCCAGCCTTGAGCCCCGCGCGTCACCCCGGGCTCTGCCTCCCGGCCGGGTTCCCCGCCCGAGAGTCTCCGCCAACTTCGTCCCGGGACAACCCTCCGCCCCTTCTCCCGCCCGTGGGCCACCACGGCAGCCCTGACGGCGCGGTCCCCTCTTCGGATCCGTCTGGATGGAGGCGCCGGCTGAGAACTGTGGCCTCCACCTCGCAGCCTCCGCGGACCACACCTCCCCTCGTTAGAGAAATGCCGCACCAGGTGAGGCCCAGGGGACCTGCACCGGGCGCGGGAACGCCTCCCTTCCGAGGGCCAGCGGGAGCCAGTCAGCCTGGGTACCCCAAGGAGGAGGCCCGGACCCGTAGCCACCTCTGGAGGGTGAACTGTGGGGAGCACAGGCCTGCAGGTGGCAACTGCCTTGGGGTGCAGTGCTCTGAACAGCTTGCTTTTCAGGGAGCTGGGGTGGCACCTGACCCATGTGGCCTGCTGGTGGCCTTGGAAAGGCTAGGCAAGCCTCTACAACAGCCTGGGATGCGGGAGGCCCTGGAGACCACAGAATTGGCTTTGGAAAGGCACAGGGCAATGTGACACAGATGGCCTCTCTTTTAGGACCTCAAATGTCCTGTGACTCCAGCTCCCTGCCCTTGTGAGGGGCTGGATTCTAATAAGAAGCAGCCATGTGGTGGAGCCTTGTGAATGTTGTTTGTTTCGTACCAGTAGCTGGTCTTGAACTCAGAGCCTCACCTCACCCTCTGGGCTTTTTCACTCAAGGCTGGCATTGTACCACTTGAGCCAGGCCTCCAGTTCAGTATTATTCTGATTAATTGAAGATGGAGTCTCACAGGCTCTTCTGCCTGGGCTAGCTTTAAACCTCAACCAACTTAAGTCTCAGCATCCTGAGAAACTAGGATTATAGGTATTAGCTACCAGCCCCTGGATCCCACTGCTGTTCTAAGCAGCAACCTGTCCAGGATAAGCCTTCACCTCCCCCTCTGAACAGCTTTCTTCTCTCCTCTCAGCACAGCCAGCTAACAAGGATCCTGGAGTGACCTCCAGGATGGAGCTGGGGCCAGCCACAGAGACCTTCATGCTGGAATTGCGAAGTCTTGAGGATGGAGGTCCAGGGCCCAACCCCCAGTCAGGTGAGGGCTGGGGTTGGGGAGGAGCCATGACAGAGCTTTAGTATTACTGTGGCAGAGAGAGGCCTCCAGGGCATCCACTCACGCCTGCCCACAGTTGCCTGGAGTCAAACATTGCAGGTTTGTCCTCTGGCTTTGTCAGGCTAAGCTTTTGTGAGTGAGGGGCTTCCTGACCTCCTCCTCCACACTTAGCACCTGTTATTGGGTTGAAGCTCAGGCCTGGTTTCCCCAGTAGACAGGTGGCTTCTACCACTTCCTCTCACCTGCCCCTGGCTCTGATTCCAGTTCCCAGATGGAGTTGAGGGGCAGAAGGGCTCTGCCTTGCCCCCTTGTGACTTTTCCCTATAGCTTCTACCCTTTCCCATTCCTCCTTGACCTTTGCTCCCACCTGTTTTCCTCTTCCTGAAGCACAGAGGTGCCTTGCCTTCCAGGCTGTCCCTCCTCGGAGATTCACTATAGGGTGGTCAGCTCATGACAGCCAGTTTCCCATTCTGTGTTCAGTGAGGGCCTGTAGCAACAGAGTGGCTCTGAGTTTATAAAAGAGCTAGAGGTGGGACGCTGGTGGCTCATACCTCAAATCCTAGTACTCAGGAGGCTGAGATCTGAGCATCATGGTTCAAAGCTACCCTGGACAGGGAAGTCTGAGATTCTTATTTCTGATTAACCAGCAAGAGCCAGAAGTAGAACTGAGACTCGAGTGGTAGAGAACAAGCCTGAGTGAAAAAGCCAAGCAAGAACACAAAGTCTTGAGTTCAAGCCCCAGTACTAGAACTTAAAAGGAACTGGGGAATTGCAGGGGTCAGCCTGGAACCTATAGATTAAATGATTCTTCTACTTGTAAACTGAACAGAAATCTCGCAAGGGTATACAGACAATATTTAACCACATGCTTACTAAAATTTCCTTCTTGAGGCTGGGAAGGTGGCTCAGTGGTAGAGCGCTTGCCTTGCATGCATGAGGCCCTGGGTTCGATTCCTCAACACCACATAAGCAAAAAGAAAAAAGCCGGAAGTGGCGCTGTGGCTCAAAGTGGTAGAGCACTAACTTTGAGCTGAAGAGCTGAGGGACAGCGCCCAGGCCCAGAGTTCAAGCCCCACAACCGGACCCCCCCCCCAAAAAAAATAAAATTTCCTTCTTGAAAATGCTGGTATTGCTGCCCCAGAAAGTCATAGTAGAGCTGGGCACTGGTGGCTCACACTTGTCATTGTAGCTACTCAGGAGGCTAAGATCTGGGGATTGTGGTTCTAAGCCTGCAGGAAACTCCTTGAGATCTCCAACTAACCACCTAAAAGCTGGAAGTGTAGCTGTGGCTCAAAATAGTCAAGCACTAGCCTTGAACAAGATAACTCGGTGATAGCACCCGGACCCTGAGGAGGGAAAGAAACGAAGGAAGGAAAGAAGGAAAGGGAGGGAGGGAGGGAGGGAGGGAGAAAGGGAGGGAGGGAGGAAGGAAGGAAGGAAAGG